AACGTGGTGCGATCATCCCCCTTGCGCGGAGCGAGGGTTCTCCACCCCGCACAACATGATCTACTCGACCATTATGGTTACTGCCCCAAAAAAAAAACAGAGGTAAACCCCCCCCCCCGGTAACCTGGTTGCCGAGTTCACGAAGTGAATTGGCTTGTTTTTCAACGTCGTTGCCAAGCGACGAAAACCCAATCCCGATGGCAAACACCGAGGGGAGGGCTTGTTTTACAAGGTCTTGCCAAGCGACGGAAACCCAACCCCGATGGCAAACACCGGGGGGTGCGGCTTGTTTTACAACGTCGTTGCCAAGCGACGAAAACCCAACCCCGATGGTAAACACCGGGGGATCGGGGGGATCGGGGGGGTGGGGGGGTGGGTGGGTGGGGGAGAATCACATAGGAATTCTGACAGAATGCAAGACACACGGAGAGAAGAGGGAGAGCGAACGGTAGTAAGGAAGGGTTGTGGGGGGTCCAGGAGGGACACAGCGGAGATCTTCATAGGAGGGAAAGAAAATAATACGGAAAAACAGACGTGATGGAGGTACGCAGTTGAGAGGGGATGCCCTGTTCTGCCTCCAATCATACTTGCACGGGCTGGGTATGTGATGGCTGGCAACAGAGTGTACGGCCCGGTGTGTGAAGCTTGTTTCTCGCTGGCATGTCTTCCAGACGTTGTCAAGGTGTATGTGAGTATTTTGTGCCTGACGCGTTACGGTAGCGAGAAGGAGCAAGGGTTGGATGTGATTCTCGGTTCACACGGACGGGGTCTGGAGGGGTAGACTGTGCAGACACCACATGTTGTCCCTCCTCCCCAGGCACAGAAGCACATGAGTATATTTAAAAGGAGCCCAGACAACACGGTTGATTTCGGTCGCGAGTGTGCACGGAGAACATTGTGGTGATGATGGGCAAAATGCGCAACGTACCGTGTTCGCTAGCCGGTGTGCCCGTGTTCTCGCCGGGAGTTTCTCATGGCGTGTTTTGCGTTTGTCTCATTTTCGTGCTGGAATAGTTTTTTTTTTTTTGACGCGTTGACGACGGCATAGGCAATTTTTTCTTCGCTAAACTGCAAGCGTAGTCATCGTTGTCGGTGAGATGTTTCGCACACTAAGCTGACGCGGTCATGTTTTTTGGTGAGAATCGCTTGGCCTTGTTCGTTCTTCTCGTGCGAGATGCTTGCTATTTGTTCTGTCCTCATTCTGGTTAATCTTCTTTCTCCCTGTTCTCAGGCGGCTAGTAACCCCAACTTCAAGTTCCACTACACGCTCGACACCGCTCCGGAGGGGTGGACGCACAGCCAGGGTTTCATTAATAAGGAGGTACGTTCTTTTATTCTACATGTTTTTCCGTGTCATGTTTTCGACTGGACGACCGAAAAGGAACTACTTCTATACATTCCCACAAACCGTGAGACCAACCATCCCCCTGCCCACGCTCCGCTCCCAATATTCACAACACGCCACCATAGCTAGACACCTTTTGTTTTTTGGAGTGTTGTGGGGTAGCCTTGGACGGCGGTGGGGTTAGAACGTGCCGACGAGGTGGGAGCCTCAAAATCTGGTACGGGTCTACGTGTAGCAGTACATCTTGGACGTTTGTGACAGCGACACCTGTGTTGTCCCCCGTGTACGAGTATAGCAGTATGTATCCCGCCAAATGATTAGTCGATGCCCTCAATCCTGACATCGCAACTACGCTTATAGCAATCGCTTCGATCCCGTGTGCCTGGCAGATGGTGGAGAAGCACATGCCCCCACCTGGGGCGGACACCCTCATTCTTATGTGCGGTCCCCCGCCGATGCTCAAGTTCGCCTGCGTACCCGCGCTGGAAGCGTTAGGGTTTTCGGAAGACATGCACTTCTCCTTTTAGTTGCTGCCTAGTATTGGTGGTTGCACAAAAAGTTGTGAAGTATATGTATGTTGTTTGTTAGAATTGTTTTTTCGAAGGTTCTCAGAAAGCGTAGCTTTTGATTTTCTCGTCGAGTGTCGACTTCGTGCATTCAATGAGAGGGGGGGGTTGGCAAGTCGTAGTTTATTTGTGTGTTCCATGTTTTTGGTTTAGACAAATGTACGTGCACAAAAACCGGCAGAAGCCGAAATGCTAGCTGGAACGCTATTCGGGACGGCCATTTGCGCATACACCGCTGCTTGAATAATAGGTACTGCTGCAGTGCCGAATGGCATTGGTTGATCGTGGCGGAAGTGCCCTGATTGGTTGGTTGGGCTTTCGTGAGGGTTCTAGTGCAGTAGGTCACCCCCAGTTGGTCGTTGACATAGACTTGCAACAACTCCTTGGGAATTTCAACGATGTTCGTGTGCACCCACCACCTACTCTTTCGTGGGAGAATGCCGCAAACCGCCACGTCTGCTGTCTTTACATGTGCTAAGGGTCACGGCTCTCTCGTGGATTAGTGCTCAATTACAGCCCATTTTTCGCTTTTCTTCACCAATAGAAGTTGGGGAGAACGCTTGCGGTGCGGCCACTGCCACTGGTCTATGACGACTCCACACAGACCACGTTTGTTTCAGTCGTGTGTCAGTGTTTGGTGCATGGCAAAGAGCAATTCCTCAGCACCAACATGGGGCTTCATTCCGGTAGCATGTCAAATAACGCTGAGAGCGATGAATTTGTGTGGGTACAACCTTGGACTCTACGGAGGACAGGGGCGGCGAAGCATTCGTTCTCGCCGCGATATGGAATAAGGATTGTGTGCGGCCCCGGCTGGTGTCCTAAAAACGTACCGAAGTTTAAGACGAAAAATGTTCGAATCGGATGACAACTTTATGAAGTGCAATCCACCACGAAACACTCCGTCGTGATCGACTACGGTTGGATCCGGCTAAAACCGTCAGGTGTATTTTCACGTGTCCAGAAAATTGGGATGGTAACACCCCTATTCCCACATGATGCATCATCCAGCGAAAGAGCAGGATGAGGCACATGTCCTCGAGATCGACCTTCATCAGCTTGTCGTATTTCTTTTTTATTCGGTCCAAAGGCAGTAGCTGGTAATCCTTGTGCTTCACTCCAATATTCCCCAAGAGTATTTACGGTCTGTGTCTGAATCTTCCCATCTAAGCAGTTTCATGCCCTCTGAATTGGTCGGGCGTTGGTTCCTACCTTTCACCGTCTCGCCGTTCCGCCTTCACTTCGAGAACCCGGCGCAGCCGCGTTTTCGCCCAGTTTGCGGCCGCGTGGCCGTTCGTTGGCCGTGGGTTAAGGGTTAGGGTTAGGTCAGCCAGGATCTATGTCTCACCCAAGGTGTGAGCCTAGCCTTCAACACACGGTTTGACCTGAAGGGTCACTCTAACAGACCGTAAATATACCTCCTAAAATTCGTGAACTGTAGTTCACTCGTCCCCCTCAGCGATTCCACTTCCTCCTCCGCCATTACTCCCTCCCATGTGGAGCCTCTCTTGACGCAGTCCGTGTTACCCGGAAGTCGTTTCATGCCCGTGTGTCATCTACCATGGCAGTACATATCACACTCCCTGGACCAATTTTCAACGCTCGACTACTCTCCGCAGGAAAAAAAGTGGCGGTGCCGGAAATGGCGGCGCTGGGACCATCTTGTCGGGAGCGTTTCGGAAACGAACGGTTTCTCGTATGCATCCTCTTCGTGGAAAAATTGGGCATTCAAAATCGGTCCAGGGTGTGTGGTATCTTGTGTATGGTACCTGCTAAAGCCTCTAGCACTCCTAGGGCAGATTCTTGACTTCCTCTTTCCTCCAGATGGTCGACCGCACGATACGACGTGTGGCGGAGCAAGAAATTTGGGCATGATGACGAGAGGTCCACGCGTACTCGTCCATCGTCCAAATCAATATCCGGACCGTCGTTCTCGATGCGATGCGCGTTGTTGACCCTGCAACGGTGGGCACCCATCAAATCCAGCGCAACCCCTCGCGACATCCCATCCATGATCACATGTGCTGACATGGGCAAGCCTGCCCCTAATCCGTTGTATTATGATTTGTGAGGTGTCAAGCGGCAGGCTGGCTTTGCCCTCAATGAATCACTGAGTGTGATCGCGTTATAACTGCTACTGCATACTGTAGCTCAAATTACGCCATGGACCTCCATGCCTCAACTTGCGGAGAAACAGACTGTTGGTGCCGCTAACGCCCTCAGCGGTTGGTGAGACTGGTTTCTAAGTTGTCCCAGGAACGGCAGATGAAGACAAGACTCATAATATCAGACTTGCAAGCCCTACAGACAAGCGGGTCACACACCGAGGACCGCTCACCCCCCAGGCACACACCAGGAGCACACCGGGGTGTGCTCTCCCGGGGGGGGCGCAGTTGGACCCCGACCGCATACATACCCACCACAACCATACTTTCCATGCGCGTGACCCCACAGAGGACGCACAGATCGGACTCATATCCAAGTACCATAAACAGTTTTTTATACGATGTATGAATACGATCTTGCAGTCAATCCTACAAGAATGGTAGACTGAGCAAAACATATTCAACAAAGCTGGCTTCATGTATGTTAGCGTTCAACGCAAAGCATCTACCTCAGTATATTCACGAATGAATCCAACGCATTCTTCTCTCTGGGAACGATCCCAAACCGTCAACACAATAGAATTATCCTCGTCGTCGATGAGGTTGCCAGGGTCAATGAATGTTGACATGCTTTGCTGAAGTCGAGTCCTCAGTTGCGCTCTTGGCGGGAACTTGAATAGCGCTTGGTTACATTTCGCCGCTCTTACGTTGGGGTATTAGTGTGCCGGCCTGAAGCTTCTCACTCGTTGTCGGGCTAAACGTTGAGGCAGGCAGCAAGGACGAACTAGAGCTGCTGCAAAATCAGCGGTGAAAGCAGCGAGACAGGTTTGAGGAGCAGTAGCGCCTCGTGATGGTATGCAGAGCCGGCGCGATGGAGGCCAATACACTAAATGACCCCGTTGAAGGTGAGGGATCCGTTATTTTTTCCAAGCACGTACGTATTGTTTGAAGAATGTGCCTTGTGGTGTGGTGCTGTGAAAGGTATACTACGCGGGGTGCAGCAAGCACGTTCTGGACGTTACTTTGGCGCACTGGGTAGTCGGCCATGTTAGGGCGAGAGGGAGAGGTTGAAAGAGTGTTGGAGAGGGAGTGGGAGGAGGAAACTTGATTCGAGAGAGACGGTGGTGGCGGTGGAGAGAGAGAGGGAAGAAGAAGCGCGCAGCACGCACGCAAGCCTCATCATCGCTCCAACCACGCCTAAAGGGTCCCCGTGACTGCACCGGTGGTACCCTTAAACACACGAAATTCCCAACACGTATCCCCCTGGGATCCTCACGACCAGATACTGCTGCGAGTATATCTGGCATCCCCCCTGCTCGCAACAGTTTCTCACTGCAAACTTCGCTAACACCCGACATCTCAACCAAAATACGTCTTTCCTAGAATATATGCCATGAAGACTTGACCAGAATAATCTAAGAGAGAGAAACATTTCAAAGAAACATGAATGAATGCTGCATCGCGCGTAACAAATACTTGGCGCGGGAAATGAAACAAAACGGGAAACAAACGGGAAGCAAAACACAACCCATCAGAAAAACAATAAAATGTTCATGCCAAATTCATCACAAAATCACGGTGAGACTCGAAAGCATCCTTCGACAAACTCTTCGTAAGGAAGTCTGTACGCTGGTGGTATGGCGACGGCACGTGGATGACCGAAATTTCCTTCCTCTCTACCAGTTCCCTGAGAAAATGGTGCCTTACATCTATCTATGTGCTTCGAGTTCGAGTTTGANTGTCCTCGAAGACGGGGATGCACGGCATGCCGACCTGCGGCAACATGAAACGCCAAATCTGCCTCAAAAACAAAATCTCCTTCACTACGTCACCTAGCGCGACGTACTCTGCTTCGGTGGTCGAAAGCATGACACACTTCTGCGTTCTGGAAAAAAACCAAGACACAGGGCCTCCTCCACACGTCACGGTCCCCCCTGATACCGACCTATGGTCTGCTGCCTTGCTTGCAAAGTCCGCATCAGCGTACCCCTGCAAGCTGAATCCCTCTACCGTACCTCTCTGAAACGAAATACCAAAGTGACTCGTCCTCCTCGCATAGCCTAAAATATCCATCGCTGCATTCCAGTGTACCAGCTTCGGAGATGCGCGATACCTAGCTACTGCCCTTGCAATGTCTGGCCTAGTCTGAGTCGCCAGCCACATCAACGATCCTACCAGCTCACGAAACGGANCTAGCTCATCCGTGAAAGTCTGCTGAGAAATCGTCAACCTACCGGTCTCCTTGTCCCTCTCAAAATAGCACCCTGAATACCATCTCAACTCTCCCAGGCTCTTCACCGGCACGGACTTGTTAAGGTCGGCGCCAAACTTGTCACATCTCTCACTCTCTCCCACAGCAAAAATGTCATCTACATGTACTACCAAAATCAAAACAACACATCCATCCTCAATCAAACGAAACACACAAGCATCGGCCATGCACTGTTCAAAACCTAACGCCACCAAACACCTCTTGAGCATTGCATGCCACTGCCTAGATGCCTGTCTCAAGCATACAGACTCTTGCCTAGTTTTACAATGATTCCAGACAGAGCTCCACATCCCTGCGGCAAACGCATGTACAAGTCTTCAACTCCGAACGCACAATAGCTTGCTCAATATCGAAATGACACAAGTCGAGGTTCAACTCGCACGCNAATGCAGGCAAAGCAGCAGGGTCTACAATAGTCGCAGATGGGTCGTACGGCAACCGGATGGCATACGCTGCAGACGCTTTATCCTCTCTAGCAAAGAGCAGTCCATTTTGGAGGGTTGCACCACGTTTGTCGTAGAGGATTGGTTGCTTCAGAGAAACAGCATGCGTTGAGAACAAGTTGAAGCTCAGGATCTCTACAATNACAACCCTCCAAAGTCAATGTACTCTCTCTGCATGTCACCTCTCGCTACAAGTCTCCACTTAACCTTAGTGTGCCATCCAAACTCATCTGCCTTCCAATCGAATACCCACTTAGCGTTAATTGCGTTCTCCACTATTGCTACTTCGCCGGAGTGAAAGTCCCCGCTTCCAACAAGCCATAAANAGACACGTCAGTGAGCTTCACACACATCGTCGTTTTCTCACCATTCTCATCCTCCTCAAAGAACTACCAGACTAATACTACCGATGGCTTGCACTTCTAGCAGTCTACCATCACCTACAACGACATTCCTACTGGCGGGGATCTCTTGCAGGTCATACATGTGTAGGCTGCTGTTGGTGAAACTGTTGCTGGCTCCTGAGTCAGCTACCCATCTCGCTACCAGGCGGCCCCTCACTAGATTCTACACTCAGCAAAGACGAAGCAGACGCAGCAGGCTCTACTCTAATCGTCACTCCTGTCCTACTGAAAATCTTCAGGGTGAGGCATGCCTATGGGCACCGATTGTGCCGTGCAGAGGTGGAGGTAGCCCGAAAATGGAGGCGCTCCAGGAGAAGGAGTAGAGGACAAGGACGAAGCGGTGGTGCTGCTGCTANGGCTGCTGTTGGTGAAACTGTTGCTGGCTCCTGAGTCAGCTACCCATCTCGCTACCAGGCGGCCCCTCACTAGATTCTACACTCAGCAAAGACGAAGCAGACGCAGCAGGCTCTACTCTAATCGTCACTCCTGTCCTACTGAAAATCTTCAGGGTGAGGCATGCCTATGGGCACCGATTGTGCCGTGCAGAGGTGGAGGTAGCCCGAAAATGGAGGCGCTCCAGGAGAAGGAGTAGAGGACAAGGACGAAGCGGTGGTGCTGCTGCTAGCGGGGGGGGGCTGACGTTGCTGCTCGGATGACGAATCTTCGCCGGCAGGAGGGTAGTACACGTGGTGGATGCCGCCGTCAGATGAACGGCTGTCTTCATACCCTGAGGAGTAGCTGTAGCTGTCCCCACCGCCGGCGTAGTGGGCGTACCCGGCGTCGTGGTAGCCGTCTTCGCAGTAGTAGCCGTCGTCGTAGTCGCCGTAGTCTTCGTAGTAGCCACGATCATCGTGGGCGTCGAACACAACGTACGCCTGCTCTTTTTCGTGGCCAGAACGCACGTGCCCCGGGCCTCTCTCTGCCCGTTCTCTCTCGGCACGACCGTCGCTGCTGTGGCGTCCCGCCGGCCCACGACCCCCTGGGTGACGCCCCAGACGACTACCAGGCCCACGTCCACGAAGAGGTCTCGGGGGGGGTGAGGTTTGGCTCCAGCCACCGCCACCATGACCGGTGTTGTGCTGCTGCCCTTCTAGCCTCACCGATCGGCCGCCACCGCGGCCTGGCCCCGGCGGCGGTCTACCCCCTCGCTGGCTACCGCCGCCACCGCGGCTGCCGCCGCTCGAGCGGCGTTCCTCGGCGCCCTCTCTCGAACGCACGCGCCGCAGTTGCTGCTGGAGACGACACTACTCGTTGGTGTGAAGCTCGGACTGGTGGTAGCGGCAAAATCCGCCGGGGACGTCGTTGAACACGTCACTATATTTCTTCTCTCCGTCACGATTTCGGCCGCCAGCTGCTGCCTGACCGCAGTCTTGACCCCCGTATGCTCCCCCACTTCCCTCGCCGCGCCGGCCCATGCCGGACACACCTCGCGCCTCTCCCCCTTGCTCCTCTCGCGCTCCATCTCCACGTGGGCGTCCCTCACCACCGTCTCAACGGTACGCAACGTCAGGACATCATGGGCAAGCAGTGTTCCATTTTTGCACGGCATACAACGAAGAGGGAAGGCCACGAGCAATGTCTTTGTTGGCATCTGTTTCATCCTTAATCGTGCCTACAGATGCGAGACGCAGGCGAAGGGCCTCTGAGCGGGCAATGTAATCCTGTGGCCTCTCGGACTCTCTCATCTCCAACTCCTTCCAGTCTTGCTCCAACCTCGACTTTTCTGACTGCTTTTTCTCCTGATAGAACTCTGTCACGATTTTCCAGTCTTTTCGGGGACTCTCACACGCCAGAATCAAGCTCTGAATCGGGGGATACAAAACCTTGCTAATACGGATGTTCCACAGTTTGAAAGACTTGTCCACCTCTTCATTACCAAAAAGTCTCCGAAGGTCTCCTACATTCACACCCCTCTTCCCCACCTTGGCCTCAATCTCCAGTTCCAACGCATCGTGCACACCCTCCTCCTGAAACATGAAATCATCTCACTACGACAAATATCAAACATAATATTNAAGGCCACGAGCAATGTCTTTGTTGGCATCTGTTTCATCCTTAATCGTGCCTACAGATGCGAGACGCAGGCGAAGGGCCTCTGAGCGGGCAATGTAATCCTGTGGCCTCTCGGACTCTCTCATCTCCAACTCCTTCCAGTCTTGCTCCAACCTCGACTTTTCTGACTGCTTTTTCTCCTGATAGAACTCTGTCACGATTTTCCAGTCTTTTCGGGGACTCTCACACGCCAGAATCAAGCTCTGAATCGGGGGATACAAAACCTTGCTAATACGGATGTTCCACAGTTTGAAAGACTTGTCCACCTCTTCATTACCAAAAAGTCTCCGAAGGTCTCCTACATTCACACCCCTCTTCCCCACCTTGGCCTCAATCTCCAGTTCCAACGCATCGTGCACACCCTCCTCCTGAAACATGAAATCATCTCACTACGACAAATATCAAACATAATATTCAAGTCCTGCTCATTCTTCACGCTACCAAGCCAAGGTTCTATTTCTGAGCAAGGATTGACACGTAACGTGCCTGAGCGGGCAAAGCCCTGTTGTTCAGCGATGGCGTCAGCTGTCGCCTCGGCCGCTTGTGCCACGATGTGTGCGACGCTGCTGGGGTCGTTAAGGTAGCTGTTTTACCCTGGCTGGAGGGTGATGGCTGGCTGCCGGTAGGTGGGACTGGGTTGCCGGCTGATGGTGGTGGGGCGTAGGTGACTTCACCTTCGCTGATCCTGTTGGCTTCAAGTTCGGCTTGTACTCGTTGCTGGACGATCTCCACCACTTTTTGTTTTAGTTNCAATCTCCAGTTCCAACGCATCGTGCACACCCTCCTCCTGAAACATGAAATCATCTCACTACGACAAATATCAAACATAATATTCAAGTCCTGCTCATTCTTCACGCTACCAAGCCAAGGTTCTATTTCTGAGCAAGGATTGACACGTAACGTGCCTGAGCGGGCAAAGCCCTGTTGTTCAGCGATGGCGTCAGCTGTCGCCTCGGCCGCTTGTGCCACGATGTGTGCGACGCTGCTGGGGTCGTTAAGGTAGCTGTTTTACCCTGGCTGGAGGGTGATGGCTGGCTGCCGGTAGGTGGGACTGGGTTGCCGGCTGATGGTGGTGGGGCGTAGGTGACTTCACCTTCGCNCCCTCCATGGTGTCTGTTGTTGTGGGAGTCTACCGATTGCGCGTGACTTCACAACCCCCGGAAGGCTACGCCCGCGCGCAGATACCGTGGTATCGGCACACTAGTTGAAAGATATACTAGGCGGGGTGCAGCAAGCACGTTCTGAACGTTACTTTGGCGCACTGGGTAGTCGGCCGTGTTAGGCCGAGGGAGAGGTTGAGAGAGAGTTGGAGAGAGAGTGGGAGAAGGAAACTTGATTGGAGAGAGACGGTGGTGGTGGTGGAGAGCGAGAGGAAAAGAGCACGCACGCAAGCCTCATCATCGCACCAACCACGCCTAAAGGGTCCCGTGACTGCGCCGGTGGTACCCTTAAACACACGAAATTCCCAACACGTATCCCCCTGGGATCCTCACGACCAGATACTGCTGCGAGTATATCTAACACAGTAAATAGAAAAGACACTACCTCCTTGCGCGCATTGCTTCGAACATATTCAAGACCACGTTTTTGGGAAAAATGCTCGTCTTAATCGGTGATTCTCCCTGCTTCGTGACGTTTCGTGCAGGTCTCAGACGACGTGAACGGCTGCACTGGTGAGGACAGAGATTTTCGCCAAAGCCTCCATCAATGAAGCGCAAAGAGCAAGAACTGTGGCACTTCGAACGTGGAAGAAGTTAGGAATGCGGCACGATACATGAAAGAGGTGAGTGACGACGGTACTGGCAGACGCTGGTATACCTTCATTTTCACTCTAGCGGCCTGAACGTCAGTTGTACGCTAGTCAGAGGCAGGACGTGGTCACTTCATATTAATAACGATACTGCAGAGAACGCTTGTTTACTTATTCGTTCACTCTAGTTTCTTGAACGTCAGTTGTACGGTAGACGGGCAGGATGTGGTCACTTCGTATAAAGAACGGTAAACTGCCAAACGCTTGTGCGTCAATATGTTTACTCTACATTAGGTGCTTGAGCGTTGGTTGTGCGGAAGACGGAGGCAGAATGTGGTCGCTTTATGTAAAAAACGGTACTGTCGAACGCTTTGTCGCTTCACTTTCACTCTACATGGGTAAACGTGAGTTGTGCGGTAGACAGAGGCAGCACGTGGTCACTTCCAATGAAGAACGGTAACGCTTGCGTGTCAATGTTTTCACTGCGTAGTAGGTGCCTCAACGTGAGTTGTGCGGAAAACAGAGGACGGACGTGGTCACTTCACATGAAAAATACTGTCAAACGCTTTGTCGCTTCACTTGCCCTGCAGGTGTTGAAGTTCAGTTGTGCGGAAGACAGAGGCACGACGTGGTCACTTCATATGAATAACGGTACTGCAAAATGCTGTTGTGTCTATACGTTCACTCTACAGTGCTTCAACGTCAGTTGTGCGGAAGACAGAGGCAGGATTTGGTCCCTTCATACGAAGAACGGTGCTGTGAAACGCTTGCGATCCTTATTTTCACTCTTTTGTGTAGTTACTTAAACGTCACTTGTGTGGAACACAGAGGCAGGACGTGGTCACTTCATATGAAAAATGTAACTGCGAAGCGCTTGTGTCTGTATTTTCACTCGTCAGTAGGCGCTTCAACGCCCACGACTTGTCAGCATGCGGACTTTCTCACGAAACGGATGCACAAAAGCGCGTTTTGCTTCCACCGTGATTTTGTGATGAATATTTAATTATGTAAGGATTTTTTTTTCCGTATCGACGCGTTCTCTATGCTGCGTTTTGCGTCAAGAATCAGGGGGGCAGGACATGTGCTGTCATGATTCCAGACACAACACCAGCTGATGCGCATATATTTTTCTTGTATATGCAGGAAGTACTCCAGCTGGGGGGCTGTTACGTATTGATATTGGTATTGATACTGCTGTCTTGTGCCAAATCCAGTGAGATACGGTGGCACAAAACTTGCTTGTATCGGGAGATGTTGCAGCAGGGGGGCTGTTTGCATGGATATTTGCCTATATTCTCTATCGTCTCTTGGACAACAGCTGAGGCACCGATAGCATGTGCGCGCTGCTTAGGATGTTGTCCTTGGACGCTACATTGGAGAAAGGGTTTGACATGTTTTGACGAGTAATGGTTGGGGGCTCTGTGCGTTCCGAATGCTCGTTTCAATTGGACGAGAAGTTGAAACTTTACCTTGTTGGAGGATGTGTGTCAACTCATCTTGAAGCGGTTTTCCAGATTTGTCCGTCACAGTTCCGACGCTTTTCTGATGTAGCGCAGATACTCTGAGGATGATTCTGTTGTTTTGACGGTTTGAGAATAAATTGGATTCATGGATAAACTGATGGAGACGCTTCGTATTCAATGCGTAGCCAGTTTCGTAGAGGATGTTGCTCAAGTGGATATTTTTGTTTTTGTATTGGTTGAAGGACTTCCAGATCGCATATTGTATCAAGCAGGGGGGCTATTTGGGGTATTTGGATACAACATCCGATCTGCAGAGAATGTGTGTGTGGGGGGTACACTATTGAGGGTTCAAGTGTGGGGGCCCTCTTCAGAGCCCACGCTTGTGTCCACTGTTCCCAGACACGTCTGTGAGAGATACTACTGTGTATTTTGTGCTGGAAAAGCACGTGTGTGTTAATCAAGGATATTTATCATCTGCATCGGTCCTATAGGTCAACATAATCCCCAGACAGACATCATACCGTGGGTAGGCACGGTATCCTCTCTGGGGGGGCACGGCAACTTCCGTGGGTGGTCACGGGGGTACACAAACAAGCGATCACGTTCTGCCTCCATCCACCGCACAACGGACGTCCAAGCAGTGAAAATTACCGACACACAAGCGATTGACAGTACCGTTCTTCATATGAAGTGACCACGTCCTGCCTCTGTCTTCCGCACAACTGACGTTTAAGTACGTACACTAAAGAGTGAAAACAAGGATCGCAAGCGTTTCACAGTACCGTTCTTCGTTTGAAGTGACCAATTCCTGCCTCTGTCTTCGGCACAACTGGCGTTGAAAGTAAGGATCGCAAGCGTTTCACAGCACCGTTCTTCGTATGAAGTGACCGCATCCTGCGTCTGTCTTCTGCACAACTGACGTTGAAGAATCTACTGAAGAGTGAACAAATAGACACAAAAGCGTTGGTCAGTACCGTGCTTCATATGAATTGACCACGTTGTACCTCTCTCTACCGCAAAACTCACGTTTAAGCGCCTAGTACAGAGTTGACGTATTGGGACACAAGCGCTTGGTAGGTACCGTCCTTCATCGGAAGTGACCACGTCCAACCCCGACCCGAAACCGAACGCCTAGCGGTCCCCTCCTAGGCTACGTCACTGTCATGGCCATGGTGCGTTCGGTCGGCTCCATAGAAGCTCGTGTGTTACGAAGGTACCTAGTAGATGCGGGGCGTCGTTTTCACAGAAGAAACAGCACGACAACCGGCTGTCAACCTTCAAGAGGCATCCATAGAAGAACCAACAGCTGCTGGCTGCCCGGCTCAGCCCCCCAGATAGTTCGTGCTGCCTTTCTTACGCTGCCTGTTGCGACTGCGTCACATCCCAATTGTCGCTACGATGTTGTGTCAACCGCGAGTATGACAATATGAACACGTGGGCACGTGCACAATCTTCCCCCCCCCGCGATACACGCTCCCGAAGAAAGTGGTGACGAATGTCGATGTGCTTAGAGTTCGGTGTGGTGGCGGGGTTAACCGCAAGGTAAAGAGCCCCCTCGTTATCCTCGAACACCAGTGTGCACCCGACATCGCGACTCTGAAAAAAACAAACCCAAATGTACCGGAAGAAAATCGCCATCTTCATACCTTCGGCCATCGCGACATACTCCGCTTCCGTCGACGACAGTGTCACACTTTTCTGCGTCCGAGACAAAAACGAAACACACGCACCGCCGCACATGACAACTGCTCCCGAGACCGACCGCCGGTCAGTGGCGTTGTTGGCGTAGTAGTCGGAGTCAACATACAAGAGCAAATCGATACCCCCCTGGAACGCCGCTGAAATGTAATACCAAGAGCACTCGTGAATCTAATGTACATTGCAATATGCAACGCAGCCCGCCAGTGTAAGCTTTTGGGTGCATGGGAATACCTCGCAACGGATCGCACGGCATTAAGGATATCCGGCCGAGTCTGGTCGGCAAGCCACGTGAGATGACCGACCAAAGAACGAAAAGGCTCAAGAACATCAGGTTCGTCCGCAGCAAAATCGTCAAGCTTCACTCCAACAGGCATGGGGGTCTTCTTGTTGCGCGTGACATCAAACTTCTCAACCAAGTTGATAGCAAAAGTTTCTTGCGACAATGTAAGCGTACTAGTATCTCAATCGCGCGAAAAACGAACTCCCGCATACACACGCAACGCCCCGAGGTTGGTGATGGGAACGTAGGCGTTCAAGTCTCGACCAAACCTGTCACACCGACTCTTCCGCCCGATGGAAAATATGTCATCTACATGCACCACAACTACCATGGAAGGCACACCATCCTCGATCAAACGCATGAAACACGCATCAGCAGCACACTGGTCAAACCCAAGAGATTTCATGCCCCGAACAAGGTGGTGGTGCCACGTGCGTGACGCCTGCTTCAAGCCACAAAGACTACGGGCAAGCCTCACAATCATACCCGAAAGGGGCCTACAACCCTGCGGCAGACGCACGTACACGATCTCATGTAGCTTCGATTGCACAAACGCTTGATCAGCATCAAAGTGGCACATGTCCCAACCCATTTCACACGCGATAGCAGGCAAGAGGCGAATACTCGGATGGGTAGGGCACGGAGAAAAAGTCTCAAAATAGTCAGTACGTTCACGCTGACCGAAACTCCTTGCTACAAGCCTAGCCTTTGCACGCAACACATCACCGAATTCATCGACTTTCCATGTGTAGACCCATTTGGCGGAGATGACGTCGTTCCTCGTGGCTAGAGCCCACCCGCCGGCTCGAACGCGCCCGCCCCAACCAGCCCATCTATCTCCCACTTCTCGGCTGCTCCCCAAGTCGCGCTGTGCGGTCCCGCGTGAGCCCGGGCGTAGGTAGTAGGAGTCTCAAGGTCGCGCGCCGGCCCGTTGGGTAACGGGGGCTCATCCTGCAAAGGGTGAGCGGCGAGCGAAGCGACCATATCCTCCTCCATTGAAGGAAGCGCAAGTGCACCCGGTAATCCTCGAGTTGATCCACGGGCCACCGCCTGTCGCGCACGCGGCCTGCTCAGCGCCGGTGTTACTTGGTATCGGTCGCGCTGATGCTGAAGATGCGAGGGGGGGCACGGACGACGGGGGGGCGGGGGCGGGGGCGGCAGGTAAAACGGACAAGGGGGGGAAGACGCTCCCTACGCTCGTGTGTTCGACCGCCCCCGCGAACGCCGGTGTCGCCGCCGCCGTCGGTGCCGGCGTCGCCACTCCGGCTGCTGCCATTCCCGCCGATGCTGTTACCGGCGACAGGGATCTGGCCGAAGCCGCCGCTGCCGCCGCCGCTGCCGTCGCCGCTCCTGAAGCCGTCCACGCCGCCGCCGCTCCTGCCGATGCCCCCGTCAATGCTGCCGCCGGGGACGGCGCGCCGGCCGAAGCCGTTCGCACCGCCGCCGCTCCCACCGACGTCGCTCCCGCCGGCGTAGATATGGCGCGGCCGTTGTACGTCGGTACGATACCCACAAACGGTTGACGGCGGTAACCCCAAACAACGTCCCTAGTGTACCCCACGGCTCCGGCGGGGAAGATAACCTTGCAGCAGTCGCGGGAGTGATAGTCGCCGGGGTTAAGGTAAAAGCACCGCTCGCCCTTGGGTGCGATTTTTGACGGGGATGCGGGCGTGGTGGATGCCCGGCATGAGGAAGGGCAGAGGTTGACGCAGAGGACGTTTGCCTCGGAATATCTCGTATGGGCAGAGCTGATCGAGGGATATATCAAGCCGCGGCAGCGTGTTGATGCAGGAGGACATGCCGCTCCATGCCTCCGGCCAGATGCGGTTGTAATCGCAGGCCACGCGAGGGAACTGGAGGTCGGGGAAGAACAGAAAAGCCTCCGTGAAAACTGCCCGGCCGCCCTCCCGGACCAGCCCGATCCGACGCTCCACCTGCCCGTTACGCTTCTGCCCTCCGTCAGGGGACGTCAGCTCCCGGGTGATGCCGAACTCCAGAAGCAGATCGCTCACCGACGCGTTGACCAGCTAAGTGCCATTGTACGTCCGAAGAACTGGAAGTCGCCGTGGGTGTCCGGCAGAGGGCGAAGGGAAACGAAGATCTCGCGGAGGGCTTTCGTCACGGTCGTGGCCTGCTTGTCTGGAATGAATTTGACGATACCGTAGTTGGTGTTATCATCGACTACGGCGAGGCAATAGGTGTCACCACCAGCGGAGGGGGGGAGCGGGCCCGTGAGATCGGCTAAGAGGCGTTGAAGAGGTCGCGAGACCGTGGAGGAAGTCGTCGTGGAAATCGCCTTGCGGATGCCCTTGCCGACGGCACACCCGTCGCAAAACGACAGTGAACCAGTGACTTTGATCTTCATCTGGCGAGCTTCTTCGCGGATGACGCGCTCGTGTGCGTGGCCCAAGGAGACGTGGAGATCGTTGATGTCCATGGCCGCCGGCATACCCGGCCGCATGAGAGCAGCGGCCATGGCAACGGGTTGTAAGCCGCTAACATCGCGACCGCTGACACCACCCTCGTTGCCGCCGCAGCCGCCGCAGCTGCCGCCGCCACCGCCGCCGCTGCTACGCCCGTTACTACGGTCACCGCCATCGCTGGTGCCGCCCCCCCCGGAGCTCTGACCGAGGCCACCACTCCCGTCGCCGCAAACGGAGCTCTGGCCGAAGCCACCACTCACATCTCGGTGCGTCATGCTGATACCGCCGTCCCCGGAGCTCTGACCGTAGCCGCCACTCCCACTGCCGCCTGACGGAGCTCTGGCCGAAGCCACCACTCACGTTGCGGCGCGTCCTGCCGCCGCCTCCTCCGGAGCTCTGGCCGTGGCCGCCACTCCCGCTGCCGCCGACGGAGCTCTGGCCGAAGCCACCCTGCCGTCGCCTGCACTGATGACGCTGCTGTCGGGACCCGTTGCCACCGCCGCTGCTTCCGTCGCAGCCCCTGCCGCTGTCGCTCCCGGCGGCATTGCTCCTGCCGCCGCAGCTCTGGCCGAAGCCGCCGCTGCGACCGCCAGTGTGGATGCCGTTCCACAAATTCCAACCGTTGAAGATGGGGCAGCAGGATGGATCTCATCGACATGGTCTGCTGTGGGTGATGGCACACGTGAGGCTGCTGGCTGCTGCTGCTGCTGCTGCTGCTGCGACGGTGACTGCTTGGGGTGTTGCGATGCCGCGGACGGCGAAACTACAACAACGCGGTATGGTCCGGGAAACTGCCGCATTGCTACACTTCTACCGTACCCGGCCTCCATGCGNCCCCCCCCCCCCTCTCGCCAACAAACACCCCACCACTCACCTGTCCAACCACACCGCCCGTGGAGCCGGCCGCCAGCTGCTGCTGCCGCGGCTGCTGCTGAAATCCACCAGCGTTACCATACATCACGCCTGGCTGCTGCTGTTGCTGCTGCAGCTGGAAGACAGACCCGCCGCCAAAGCCACCATTCTTCCGATGCTGAAACGTTCCGCAGGCGAGGTTGAACTTGCAATGCTGATGTACATGACCTTCTTCTCCACAGCAGCTGCATTGCTGCTTCTGCTCGGGAGGGGGAGCAGCGGGAGGGCGTGGGCGTTCGTTGGGCACCAGCTGCTGCTGATACTGGTACTGGCTATGTCCAATAAGGACGTCGTTGTAGCGGCTGCTCTGCTGCTGTACTCCTCTCGTCACCTTCTGCAGGTGTCCACCGCACCACACATGGGGCTTCTTCCCCTCTCTCTCTGAAAAATATCGGCGTGTCTAAATCCCCCCCCGTCTGTATCTCCGCCGTCGACAGTGCTGGTGCTCCCTCTTTGCTGTTGTTTGTCGCGGGATCTGGCCTCCTCGGCAGCTGCGTCCGCTTTCCGCTGTGCTTCTTCACTCGTCTCATCCTGAGGTACACGACCAGACGTTGGTCGCATAAGGGCACGATATATTTGAAGCTTCAATCACTCAACACGTCTGGCCTGGTCAAAGGGTCTGCTAGTCTTATGGATTGGTCGTGACTTCTACACGGTCGACGTTTTCAAGCAGATACCTATGCTCCGAGATGCTTCACAGAGGATGCGTGCCACC